TATTGATCTATTGATACAATTCACAGTGTGTGACTTCAACCTCTTGTCCGAAGCCTGAGTCAAGTAAGATTCTGATCATCTGTTAGTCTGTAATACAAGGCAGTTTCATAACACTAAAATATACTGAAAATGACGCTTAGAACTCTACTTGGGCTCATAATCTATCACAGATTGCCAACATCCTGATTATTCTCACAACACAATGGATCAATGGCACTCATTTTCTTCATTTGTTTGAATCAAAATAGAAAAATATAAATAGTATCAGCCTAAATATAAAAATCTTTGAACTCTCAAAGTTGTGAACTGTGTTCAGAAGACTGGTCTGGTTTCACAAATATGTGGGACAGATGAATGATTCACAGAAGCAGCTACAACTCAGCAGTTTGGAGAAACATGAATGACAAACGAGAACTCGACTTTCATAGTCACTTTGAATATTTGTTAACAAAAACAAGTAAATAAAACAAAATATTTTGCCTGAGTGCATGACTGACTAAGTTTGGTTTTACGCCGCTTTTAGCAATATTCCAGCAACATCACGGCAGGGGACACCAGAAATGGGCTTCACATAATGTACCCATGTAGGGATTCGAACCCGTGTCTTTGGCGTGACGAGCCAACGCTTTAACCACTAGGCTACCACACCACCCCCTGTGTGCATGAGGTCAACAGAAACATAATGTGTAAATTTGGATTATTTTCACTTCACTTGACTTTGATAACAATAGTGAGTAAGTGATTTGGGTTTTACGCCGCTTTTAGCAATATTCCAGCAATATCATGGCGGGGACACAATATCATGGGGGCTACACACATTGTACCCATGTTGGGAATCGAACCCAGGTCTTCGACGTGACGAGTGAACGCTTTAACCACTAGGCTACCCCACAGCCCCTGATAACAACAGGAAGCAGCGACAAAACCATAGGGACCTTATCTGTCTACGAACAGTTTTAACAAATTAATAAAAACAACCTACTGTTGAACATTTCTAAGACACGTGATTGTTAACATCACATTCATAATGTTTGAAATGTCTGGTAGACATCAAACACGTATTGAGACCAATTCATGTTTAATGAATGGACCAATATCAGGGAACTCCGTCTGCCAGTAAGATTCATAAAAAGTGTATTTATAACATACCGGTATGTCCTAGATGACCTAATCTTACCGACCTTCTGGACATGACAGTATATGGAGACAAACTCTCTGCCAAAATCAATTACACTTATTCTGTCAGTACTTGTGACAAACCATTCTTTAAGAATGCATTCAAAATAGTCCTGAGTTGGTCGGTGCACTGTCATGCATTTGAATGTAGTTGATCAGATTAGAACAGCTTCCTTGACTATTGATCACTGCTGCAGTAACACTTGTATTTTTAGAAATAACATGGGACCGCCTGCCATGGTTAATCAAAGTTTGATTGGCCACATTACCATACCACTGTCTCGCAGGCACTCGGTGAAACCAAGGCAGCTGGGAGGATGGGCGCTTGCTATGATTAATGGGAGACAACTCCAATCATCCCATGGAGCCTACTCAAGGACATGGAACTGCCCTAATTCAACATTGACATTTCCTTTGCAGAAATACACATGACAAATGTAACACAAACACATTTACCTAGTTTCTGAGTCAAAATGTAAAAAGAAGTCTTTTCCATATCGTTAAAGTTTCAAGACACAATAACATATTTTCTGACAAGAAAACCCACCTGGATTAGACATGAGAAAGGTATCAGTGTCACGCAAACTTGATGCTATTTCCATTCAGAACATTCATAATCATATTTTCAATTTGTCATATGATATATTTTTATGTCAATATTATTTTATTTCTGCCCTTGACAGTACCTAATGGATTTAAAGTTAAAAAGCAAGACTGAAATTGGTCATGAATGAGTGAGCGAGTCCCAAGAGTTACAGCTTTTCCAGAGTGTGACAGCTTCAGGTGGAAGGAAAGGCAGAAGTGATGCAGTCATCTCAGACATTTAACACTAAAAACTTGCCATCATGACTCTAAAAAGAAATATGTAGTGAGTCATAATGATCAGTTTTCATAGGCGACATTTTAAATTTCAAAGAAACATGTTCTCTCATACACATGCAAATCAATATTCTTTCAATTGTATCAGCAGATTAGGGGACATATTCTATTTCCATGATTTCAAACATTGTATTGATTACACTATTCTTCTACATATAGTATCAGTTTTCATTTCGAGTCCAAGAGAGTATCAAAATCAGTAAAAACTTAGTTTTAGTCCAATTGCTATCAAGCATCTCTACTTCAATGATCTAATGTTAACACAATCACCCACAAAAGGAAATTGAAAGAAAAACAAAGCAGTAACTAGACTCCCAACATGAAATATTCACGCAGGATATCAGGTACCACAACTCATGACGGTAATGTTCCATGTGGCAGAACAAAGCTATTGGGTGTTTTGTTCCCACTCTGTTGTAATGCTGATCAATGCAACGTTTGTAATTGTCATAAGCCTCGCCTCATGTAAAACAAGAGGTCATTAGGTTTAAAGTTAAAACACCTATACAATTTGGATTCAGCTCAAAACTACACCTGCACTTTCATTGCAGAAAGCCAAGACAGATGTTACATAATAATTCTTTTCTGAGGATGTCAACATGGTCACATTAGATTGCGGACATTACACTTTCATTCTTAATTGGGTATTCAAGAACAAAACTTTCTTGAAAGGGTACATACTTCTTAACGTGTGCTGAGGACTGCTGTGAACAATATAGGCTGGAAAAGGAAGGACAGATGTTTCCATTTGTGAGTGAGAGAATATGTCTTTACGCTGCTTTTAGCAATATTCCAACAATATCATAGCAGGGTACGCCTGAAAAGGGATTCAGGGGCTACCCCCACCTCAGTATGTTTATTTGTAGTGAGTGAGGCCAAAACTTCGGTAGGGGTTGGTAACTGGGTTATTTGGTGACTTTGCATCTAGTTTTGAGTAAACGTACAATAGGTTTAACTTATAACAGCCTGTATGAAATGAAAGCAGAAACATTTGCTAAAAATGATTCGGAAGGATGGGTTCAAAGTATTGTTCAAAATGGATTTTGCATTTAAAGAGAACAGGACACTATTACTAAGGACACCAGGGATGTGAATTTTAAACTTCATCGACTCCAAATGGCCATCTGTGGCGATATGGGATAGGTTGTTTTCTTCATGTGCTTAACCTAAATCACTGGTTTTGACACTCTTAAAGACAGTACAATCAAAAGGTAAGAAAACATTCTCAAATATTAAACTGCAGACATTTGTGACTGTGCCTTGAAAGGTATTGATCGCTATACTGCCAATAAGACAACTTGGCAACAAGATCTCCTACCAATCTGATTAATATTTGTACAGCTCACAAGTGCTTGTGCAACGGAAACTGGCGTCACAACAACGCTGCCACCTGTCAACAGCACCTGGCGCTGAGAGTCACGTTTGTGTCACTACTGTCATCAATCCATGACATACTCTCCTACCACAACAGCAGCTTTCTGATAAAACCATTAACTATCCCTGTATCATACATATACCAGGTACCTTAATGGTCACATACAGATATAAAATCTAGGTTAATAGTCTGTACTTACAGTCAGGCCAATAAGGCTCTCAGGAAGGTAAATTAATATGGGTGTTTCTAACATGAATTCTACAGTTCATATCCACAGTTAAGCACATATTCCTTGGAAATATAATACTCGATAAAAATATCTGCCACAGAACTTCTGCATTGTGTGAATAGAAATACACTATTCACACTTTGCTAAGGATCAAATCATTGATTCAACAGAAAACTATGATTTGGGATCTAATTTGGTTGAAATATCTAAGCTTATTGTAAGCATGGTTTCTAGGTTTCCATATGTCACTGCATCTTGTGGATCATATACCTGCTACTGACAGGTGTTGTGTACTTGTCAATGACTCGTTCCATGATTTGCAAAATGGTTGATTGGTGCAATGAAAACCATTTTATGGTTACTCATGTGTCAGGTACATAAGGTTAGATTAAAGGGGCTGTTTGCCTAAAGAAGGGTTACCATATTATTATTTATCCAGTTTTAAATGGATACAATTTCAAATTGTAAATCTATGTTTAAGTAAAGTTGGGAATTTTTGTGACCCTTAGCAAAGTATGAGTAGTATATAAAACCTATCAATACATCATGAGTTAGTTTACCAGGTAGTCAGTGATATTATATTATCATGACACCCAAGACTTCAGAATAACCGACAAACATAAATAATTGGGATCATTTACTGTCATCATGGTGTTATATGGTGAAAATCCCTACATTAGACACATCATATTACATTGCCACTATTTAGAATATAATTGGGCAGGGATTATATTTCAGACAAACATCAAAAGGAAATTTTCACAAATTTTATCTACTGTGACAGGTTTGATCACAATTTTTTAATAAGAATCTTCAGGACATAATGAAACAGAAACAGCGTTCTAGGATTTGAATCAATCTACAATCCTGTTTGGATGCGAAAACACTATAACTCAGTGTTTGACACTCAAGCAGACCTTACTCCAGTATATTTTATAAAACACGGTGAATGGTGGTCCAGTCCCCTGCATTTGGGAGGCATGGCTGATTAATTCTCCAAATAGGAACAGAGGCATGGTGAGAACTCAATCATGAAACAGAATCACACTGCATGTACTTTTTACTTTCAATAGCATCAGTGCTGATGTTAATATAATGACATACCAAACTGCAAACAAAAACAAGGGCATGTATTCGGCAGAATCAATTAAGGCAGAAAAAAATAACATGTTTGTGGGATAGAAGTTCTCAGTGAAAGGTATGGTGGGTCCTTGCGTTTATAGTTTTCTCTCACAGCATTTAAATCGTTCAATGATATTCTATTAACTAGGTTTGACAAGCCTCCCTTGACTTTCAACTATAATTTTTAGCAATGATAACAAATTTTAGAAATCCACTTACCTGACAAGCATTATATAAAATTTGATGCTCGTATTTTTTCACTCCCAAGATATTTTGAAACATTTCATATAACTGTTCTTTGCTAAGGATGAGCTCTGATGTAGCAGTAGCCACGCGTTGCGGTTGCTTTCTAGGATCCTCCTCACCACGGTATATTGCATCAAATTTTGCCATCCAAGAACTCAACACAGTTTCCTTACTTAAACCATCTATCTCTGGCAAGCTGCGTACTCTTTTTTCAATGTTGTTTTTGAACACTTCACGGAAATCATTTGCTGAGCATCCACCACTTCTAACCATGTTTGCTACACGATCACTTTTCAAAAACACTTCATAATAGCTCTGGACTGCATTTGTAAAGGCCTCATCTGCGACAATACTTGTTTCACCACTGAGAAATGCATGGAAGCGTTCTTTTATAGTTTGTAGTTGTTGTTTAGTTACTTTAGTTTGTCTTCTTGCCATATCAGTTGGTTGCTTTGCATTAAAAGGATAGGCTATACATCTCATTACAAACACATACAGTTGTAACCTCTTCTTTCTCTCTTCTTCCTCCTTTTCTAGTTTCTCTGCATCTTCTACAGCTTTCTCTCTATCACTGATGAGTGAAGGACTGGGGCTTGACGGACGTATGCTATTAGATCTTGAATGACCCCCCATCACACTCAGGTTATCCCCACTAGCTGATAAGCTTCTCTGTTCAGCACTGGGTAGGCTGAGAACGTCTGAATTTTCATCTTCGAGGGTCTCATTGTCCGACTCCTCTTCGCTAGACGATGGGTCAAGCATAGTAGAAACAAGCTATCACGTTTTCAGGGGCCGCAATGGTAAGATTGATCCGTAAACATTGAAATTCTTACTTGACAGATGCCCTACTGCTGTCAAGTCCCCAGTCTCATCAATCGGGCATGCGCACTTGCTAGCAGACGACGGAAACGAACGATTTTACGAAATATAGAAATTTAGACTTTTTTACATTCAAGTTAAGTTTATGTAGTTTTTTAACCCAATAAAAACATACATTGTCTATAAACGTAAAACTATTGAAATATTTTTATCCCGACCTACGTCATGTCGAACGAGGTACCCGCTCGTACTCAAATTGTAATCCCCGCAGAAATTGACATTTCATGGCCGCCATGATGGAAAATGGACGGTGAAGAAACAAACGAAGATATGGCTGTGTTTACGGCATGTCACTCGCTCCAATGGGACAGAGTGCAATTCTGGATACACAGAAAACGTGCATTCTTACGGATTATGTGTCCAAAGTTTTCGAATGCGGAATGTTGACACGTTAAATGTGTATTTTATGCCCTGTGACCGGTATAAACAAACCGGACCAACTGTATAGACTGTTTTATGCATCAAAACATTGGATGTTTTCATTGTTTTTCCTGCAGTTTTAGACGTTATCAAGACAATTTTAGCATTGTATGACTTCATCAAGTGTTGACTTATTTGTTGTTGGCGTTGCATTTTGGATACAGAACCATACACGGTAGGTATTGGTGCTCTGTTTTGACAAGAATTATCGCGGAATATTTGAAGTCCGCATGAGTCATGTCTGAGTTCAATTATAATTTTCTTTTGACAACCATCTCAAACGAATGTGTGCATACATGTTGTATGTTGGAAATCTTTTCCCTCTGATTATATAATGTATTTGGGGTATATTATGATCATCACATTTCTATCTGACAGGTCGATCCCGAAGGTCGTCGCCGCCATTTTTATTGTCGAAAACCGAACCGGTTATTTGTTCATAAGCGTCTATTGTGGGAATTATTCGCAAATACTGAATTAGAACGAAAGATAGCAAAACATTTGTTATAAATGTAGAATCAGTACATCTTAATATGTTGATCATGACTCACTGAGCGTGTTAGTTGCGGCTAATCTTTTGAGATGCAAAATTTCCATGATGGCCGACTGCTTCGGCTTTTTGCAGAACTCGTCATGGTCGCCATTTTTGTAGACACAGACTTGCATGAAATTTCACTTAGATCTGGCAACACGCACTTGCACAAAACGTTATATTGAATAAAGTGTCACTATGAGCCGAATGCATTCTTGTTTGGACTTTGAAAATGACAAGTTGGGCACTTCTTAATCTATACTTTTCCAAACACAAACAAAGCATAATTTATTCACCTTCCTTGCAAAATGTTGAGGCTGTGGCCTTTACAAGTAATGAATAATGGAATCCTTGTTTAATCCTACCTATATTTTATTATCTTGTAGGTAGTTATGTTATGTCGTGGAAAACATGACACATGGTATGAATTATTTAATATTAAATGAATTGTTCCCTCATGGGGAACAAAACCTGAAAGGCTTTGTAATTATGACATTTGTTCTGTCATAAGTTCATGACACACATATTTTCAGGAACTACTTATAAGAAGCATCCCTTGAATTTGAACAGATAGATTAGTCTGATAGGCCAATTGATATGTTTTGTCTTAGAACAATTTGAGGGGGTATTATTTTCACATCAAACTGTCAAGTTTTAAGTAGAAACACTATATATATTGATATGGTGTACAGAAATGATGTCTATTACACATCTTTCTGTGTGGATGTGAAGTATTTTAGAAGCACAAAGCTTTATGCATGCTTGAGGTGTACATGATTGTCATGTTCTGCCTTGTGTAAGAGTGTTTGGTGCATAATTGACATGGTTCAGGTCTTGCGTCATCCTGCTTCTGTGAGAGATGGTTGGTTTTACTTCTACAATATTACATCAGGTATTGGTCACAGATACTTTAAATTGTGTTGTAGTTCAAAAGACAGAAGCAATAAATACATTGCCCCTATCATGTCTATCCACCAAAACCTCTTGTTCCTGGGAAAAGTGCACACTTTTTCACTTCATGCACAATTGTTTACTAAAAGGCTTGTAGGTTGTTTGTTTCCTAATAAGAGTCTAATGCAGTACAATACCTTTAAAAATAATTGTTCAAGCATAGATAAGTCATGTTTGCTAGATATAATGAATGGCTTTATCCTACTGTGTGTCGGTTTTGCAACTTTACATTATATCATGATTATAAATGTATTGGTTTTCTTATTTATTATACCTTTTGTCATGGATGTCATCTTAATATTGGTTCAATAGCTTACCACAGAGTTGTGTCCCTTTAGTGGGCTTTACCAGTATTGGTTGCCCAGATCCATTGGTTGTGAGATTAACTGCACAATGCACATTTTTTCAAGAGACGTTTTGTCTACAAGGACAATTTCATCTTAAGCTTGCTGATTTCAGAAACACATGTATTAGCTCTCTATGTGTCTTCATTGTGAGATAGGAAATAGTGAGTTATTAAGATATACAAGCACTACTATATGACAAACATGTTTTAATCACATTGTGAGGGAACAGGTGGCCCAGTTGGATTATACCACTATTCATTGTGAGATTGTGTTTGTTATGTACCGGGTATGCTAGGTTTGAATTCCAGATTTGCTCTGATGACACTAGCTTTATCATGTTTATCCACACTTAATAGTGTTTTTGAGTTTCACCAAAGTGGTACCTACATGATTTCAACAGCCACTCTTTCTGAAACCAGAAACTAGTAAAATTTGATTTTGCCTGGTAATCGCTAAATAACTATCCAGAAACAACACTAAACCAATATGATCTCTTCTTAGATGAATATGTTAAACTAGTACTGATGGATAACTTACCAGGTTTGATCATTCCAAATCATAGCATGGACAATGGCATATCATTTTTAATTGTATTTCCTGTCACACCGAGATATGCACCGGCATATATACCAGTACCTTGAGGATAACTACGATACAAGCTCTTTCTTTGTTTCTGACAGTTCCATTGACTGTTTAAGAAATACAGTTTGCTCTACCACAATGTATAGTGTAATAAAGCACACTTTTGCCCTCAAAGGTCACATGCAACGTAAAACACAACTTTGCAGATTCTGATACCTTTCAGTATGGACTTACCGAAACAAGTCATCAAAAATGCAAATACAACTTATAAAGTTGAAAAATAACGCGATGAAAAAACCCGTGCAAAATCGTAGTTCAAACGATTCACTAATTTTCCCCCAGCTCTTGGGGGAATTCAAGTGGTTTCAACAGCTAGGCTGCGCTCATAGCACGTGCGCAGTGAAATAGGTTTGCGCAGCTTGGAAGCGGGTTGTTCGGTGAAGGCTTTGGTGTGAGCTATTTTTCTAATGTTTTGTTGATATTTCACAGGCGCGAGCTTTTTTATATGTTATGACAGTAGATTAACTGTTTATATAATTTCATTTGTCTATTTCACCACACGTTCTTCTTACCGAGTCACTTTCTCAGTTCGATACTTAAAAGCAATGTCATTATTTAGCGTTGACAGAATTTCTAACTGTGATATAGATATGTCGTTGTCACAGACAAAACTCAATGTCTGTTTTATTGACACCTATGTGTCTGCCTGCCTGTCTGCTAATGACCATATTCAATACACAACTGCGATCACTGACCACATGCAATTTGAACTTAACACCAATCAGGCTATACACCATAAACAAAATGCATTGATTTATGGCCGGAGTTCGGTCTCTGTCACATTATGTAATTACACAGACAGGCAGATGTGAGACTTGTACATATGACATGTTATGATGTCTGTTGATTGCAAAATGTTATACACAAAAAATGAGCATGTATTTACAAAACCCAACATCTCTCTATATATATATACACACACAATGATCCGTGAGGGCATCTGCAAATGAACCAGCTGTTACACTTGAGTGCACACCCACCCGCTCTGACTGGGTTCGGTATCCCGGCTGCTTCGTTTCTTGGGAAGTAAACCCAAGTACACAATATTGCACTTTTGATTTTTTGCGATTGTACGTTTATAATTTTGTTTGTATGTTTTTTCATAACCAGCAATGTATATTATATGTCATGAATAAGTGATAATTGTGTTTTAATTATGTTTGATTTTTTGGTTGCATGTGGCCTTTAACTATTATAGTTAAAGTACAAGGATGCTTGCGTCCGAGTGCTTTAACGTTATAATAGTTCAGGGCAAAAGTGTGCTAAAAGTGTGCTCTACATGGTGGTAGAGCGAACTGTATTTCTTTTCTAAGATGCCAAATGTAATACTTTCTAAGGATAATTACGATTAATTTAAGGCAGAAAACAAACGACGGTGTCGGTGACCTAAATTAAGAATGCTCGCACAGGGCTAACTGGCGCGCTGTTCTATTTATGTGTCTGCCCCCTACGTTAAGACGAAAGTTCCCAGAAAAAAACAAATGATGACAGTTTGATGACGGTTTACGTTCAGATTGAATATCTTCTCTGAATTATTTTAATTACATCTGTCATTAACGTAAACCATATGGGGCAATATGAACGTCGCATTTCTACTACCAACGTAAGTTTAGATCAGTACATTCAGATGAAGCTGTGTAGTCAAGCGACATTCCACGATTGCATGTTCGGAATGTAACATTGTGAACGTTACCGTGTCGCTGAAAGCTTGTGAGTCGAATTGACACATTTTAACCGTCGTAAAACATAAACGTAATGTTTCCACCAGTGTTGTTAGCTGTGTGAAGCAACTGCAAACCAAGAAACGTGATGCAACGGAGTAGTTTACTGTGGGAGGCCGTACGAGGCGATGTCAACTGACATGCATCGTGACGTCGCTTACATTGTGACGTAATGTAAAATGGTTCCATTACGAGGGGGCAGACTAGAATGGCGCAGTGACGGGATAACGTCATTCAATTGTTACGTCATTAAAAAACTATACCTTTATTGTCTGATAATGTATTATTATTTTTCGATTGTTCTAACCGCTAGGCATCTTAGAATCTGTGTTACAGCACCTCCTGGACAACAATGAGTCACATTTTGTTGTATGTCACTATTGCTAGAGGTCTTTACAATTTGTTTCAAATTGAAATCTCAGGATTGTAGGTAATTGCCTTGTTCTTGTTCACATGGTCAGTTTATGATCTAAATCATTTTGTGCAGCTATGCTAAATTTTGAAATCAATGGAATGCAATCAACAAACTTACGAACATGAAAATTTGATGCTGGATATTTGTTTCCTTATCTGAGCATGATTTGAACAAAATTGCTTTGTGTGATCTTGGAATACGTGCATGATAACTGGAATGTTTAACAGAACTGTTTTTACAATCAATTATTATGTTTTTATCATGTCTTTGCTTTCTCTCATAATCAGTTATGTTAGTTTTATTTTATCGGTGCACTGGAAAATCGCAGTAGAATTCAATCATGTTTCTGGTCACCTTTGTTCATTACCATTAAGGATGTTCTGTCATATTTTTTCTTGGAATGAAATTACAAACCATTTTCCGTCATATTCTTTGTAGATTTTGCAAGTATTTTGGCAGAATATGATTGATTCATTTTATCTCTTCCAAACATTTCCATCTGGTAATTGTTTCAAGTGTTGTTAGATTCACATCTCCATAAACAGCAGCTATCTTTGTCATGTTCATGAGGGGATGTCACTTGGGGTGAAGTATTGGTTACAATACAAGATAGCAGCAGGATAGTGTCATACACCCTATTGGACTGTTATATGCAGAGTGGATGGTCAGCTCCCTACTCAGTCTAAGTAAACTTAGGCTCAGTATTATTCGTTACACTGCTATGCTGAGTCTAACAAAACCTTGTGGAAGGTTGCGTCAGGTTACCTTTGAGCAACCTATGACCGTCCAATCAAACGCAAGATGGCCGAACGGATTTAACCAATCAGACAACGGCTACTATTTAGGGTTTGGCAGGACTTACAAAATGGATTTTCTCTTCCCCGGTTGCCAACACTGATCTCATAACAAATGAAAACCTGCATAGAACACAGATATATGACCTGCACAATATACACTTTTGGGTTTCTGTTGACATGGCTATCATTAGCTAATATTTCCGAAAACTGACATCCTTGAATACTGACAAAACGCTATTTTCAGCGACAGTTTTCTCACTCTTGTGGCGTGCTCCATGTGCATCACTCGGAAGCGATCGTACGGAAAATAGCATTTGGAATCGTTCGGGTACAAAACTTTTTCGAGGTAAAAGTTCAAAAGGTGTGTGCGAATGTCAACTTTCGCGATTTGGTAAGCTGTGTTCTGATTGGTCCATTGAAAAGGTCAGCTGATGCGGCCTTCCACAAGGTTTTGTTAGACTCAGTATAGCAGTGTAACTAATAATACTGAGCCTAAGTTTACTTAGACTGGCTCACTACTGTCAATATTATTAATGACAAATGTTTCATGTTGTTTTACAAAGTAAATTCATATTTTCCTGAGACAAACTTTGGGAAGTGACTAATAATTCTTTACAAGTATTTTGAAAAAAAGTAGTATTATCAGTAGTGTATTATTGGAGGTATTATATTGAGAATGTAATGCAGTTAGTAAAAGGTATTTAGATATAAGTAGTAGGGATGTCATGTGTTAAAATGTGACGGTACATTTTCATATATGATCAGTACAGAGCATTGACACTATTTTGTCAGTCCAGTGCCACAAAATATTTTCTCTTAGGTTCTGTGGTTAACATGGATGAAAAGGAGGCTGATAGTTCAATTTTACACAATTAATATGGATTACCCTAGTTCGTGATTTCCATTAAAATGTTTAATGACATGCCTACATAGGTAATTGTATTATTACTGATACTTTTGAGTTGTTACACTGACACAATTAATGGAAAGCCTATACACTGGGTCTAAGTACTGCAAATTTTCAGTTTTGGATAACCAAATCCTTGTGCTGTTCAGCTTACTCAAACATAATTACATATTCAGAGTGCATAGGTATTTCACTTTACATCACTAATTATATTCCAGTTGATGACCGCATGGTTTAGCTGAATTTGTGATTGGAATTGGTAATGTGTTCTATCATGTTATTTGTTACTGGATTAAGGCTCAGAACTAAAGTATTTTGGGTACACAAATAAATCTACAATCAAGTTTATTTGTTAATACTCATCATTGGTATTATTTCTTCTGCTTTTCAGTTAAGTGTGTGGTACAGAAGACTGTCATGCACAGCCCTGAGGCTGCTAATGGCAGCCCCAATTTCAACCTTTCAAGAATTAATGTAGAGCCATCAGGATGAGCATAATAGTGCGCATTGGGGCAGTCCGAGGAATCGGCAGCACCAGTGGGAATGAAGTCCCCTGGTCGTCACAGGATGAGTAAGTGTTTGTTAATGATTTTATACATACGTCATATTGCGGAAAACTAGTGAAACTTTGTACCATTCAAGTTTAACTGTTACGACCTGGATGTAAAAACACGATTAAATGGGGAAAGGGTGTTCAGTTCAATGAATCAGTTCTGTTCACAGTGGAAAGTGCTTGCATTAGTAACCACAAGGGAGCTTGGGGGCCATGAAAAAAGTATTTGGGTATTTTCATGTTTGTTTGAATTATTGTTGCCACAATAATGCATACTGTAATGCTATGTCCGTTCCACAACAAATTTATTCAAAATTAAATTTGCAGTGACCTGCTTGAAATATATTTGTTATGAACAATACTGCAAAATAGTGATTTCTGCAGACCAAATGTTAGTTGTAATGCAAAATAACCTAATAAGGAACTGACTATTTTTTTTGTTAGCATGATTAGTCTGATGTTTATGTTGCTCATTATTTTGTGAATATTTTAGCATTTAACTCACACCGAAGGAAGTGAGTTCAGACATATGTTGATTAAACATGTTAAAGATATGTTCATTATCTGTATCAGAAATATCATAAAAGTGTTCATGCTAATAATACTAAACTAAGTACATGAAATTCTTCTCTTTGCAGTGACACTGTTGAGATACCTCCTCCTCCTGAGGAAATGATCCGACCGCCTCCAACTGTTTATGCCAGTTGCTATGGCTTGCCGTATCAAGTAAGAACTGCAGTTTATAATTTTCTTGTAATGACTTCCATCGTCCCTTAAAATTAGATAACATATGATACAAGCTGTTTGTGAAAAGAAAGTGTCATGGTTTTAGAGTTATATGTCTGCAATCATATTGTTTTCAGGATCACAACTATGGAGCTCCTCCTCCTCCTACACCCCCGCAGTCTCCTCCTCCCCAAGTAAAGGGGGTCATCAACGGTCATGTCCAGCTGGAAGAGGTGGTGTCCACTACCAGCACAGCAGCGGCGACTGCTATTGTGCCGCTGCCTAAAGATGACAAGTTTGATGACAGCATCACACGCTGTGTTTGTCAGTTCCAGCATGATGATGGCTATATGATCTGCTGTGATAAGTGCAGGTAGGATAAGACACCAGTTCTTCACAAATTCAGTTTGGTTTTGAACTTTCACCCTGTAAATGACCCAGTAAAGTGTGAATATGTATAAATTATGAAAAATTGCACATAACCCAACTCATTACTATGAGATTTGTTTTCTGGTGATGTTGTATTTGTTGGAATTGTCCCTCATATATTTTCCATGGTGTTTGATGAAAAGCAGTGTAGTCGAAAGCAAGATGAAGAGACGTGTTTAGTTACCTTGCTAAAATCACATGATTTCTTTTGTTAGTGTATGGCAACACATTGACTGCATGGGCATCGACCGCAACAACATCCCTGAGAGTTTCTTCTGTGAGTTGTGTGAGCCACGTCACATAGATGTGGACAGAGCAAAACTCATACAGATGAGGAAGCGAGAAGAGATGACAGGTGAGGCGTGCACATGCAAGGGAAGATAACTCTTGTATCATCCTAATTCTCTCTCTGTAATGTTTTCTTGTAAGATGACAGTGCATGTTTATGACTTGGTATATGATTTTAAATGTTTCTCTGGGTGGGCTTGGGATGACAGTCTACAGAATTTAATCAAATATATTTGTTAACAATATGTATTAGTTATTCCATGAGGAAATGAACAAACAAAACCAATAATAGACTTGTGCCGCATAAATTGCAGAAATCAATGAAAGTTACCATGAGTTGCTGAGCCAGCATATTTTGAATGAGTGATCTTGCCATTCTGTAAATTTTTTAGTCCTTTATCTGAATGTTAACAGATACAAGTGCTACTGACACGGATCCAGATGAAGCTGCTAATCATCTGGCATCCCTCAACAAGAAATCCTTAACGCCGACAAAGGGGAAGGTTGTCAAGCAGAGGCGGATCTCAAAGCCTAAAGAAAAGGTCTCGCCAAAGAAAAACGTTATAAAAAAGGAAAAAAGGATGACAAAAAAGGAAAAGGAAAATATGGGGAAAGATGGGAACAAGAAACAGAAAACAAAGGTATGTAACTCTCTGGTAAGGTAACTTGGGTATCTGCCGTAAGAATTCTTTTGTGTTGTAACGGTTTGGGGGTTGTATGGTTGAATGGGGGAATTGAGAATATAGAATGTTTCTTGTTTGAATTTGTACAAAGGATGAGATGTTTTTATTACAGAATGGTATGCCGGTGTAGAAACTTCTCCAAAATTATGAACATTTAGGCGTTTTGAAACAATATTTGAACCAGAACGATATCTAACTGTTGTAAAGATACAAAAGTATAGAAGATTATTTGCAAGTTTAAGGTGTGGAGTTTTACAATTAGAAATAGAAACGTGTGTGTGTGTGTGTGTGTGTGTGTGTGTGTGTGTGTGTGTGTGTGTGTGTGTGTGTGTGTGTGTGTGTGTGTGTGTGTGTGTGTGTGTGTGTGTGTGTGTGTGTGTGTGTGTGTGTGTGTGTGTGTGTGTGTGTGTGTGTGTGTGTGAGAGAGAGAGGGTATTACCAGGGAGGAAAGATATTGTACACTTTGTAAAAACGGTAAAATAGAAGATGAAATGCACTCTATGTTAGAATGTAAATCTCTTAATAATATTAGGCAGATAAACATAATGGAAACATTTTAAACTACCAGTAAGACTATCACTAATGACCTCTAATAACAATGAAATAAGTAAGAATGTAGCCTATTATATATAAATTTACCGTTATCATGCATCTGTATTAAGGAAATGTTTATTATGTTCATAACGCTTGTTATGTATTAATTGTTTTTCTAGATTGCCAAAGACAGTATTCAGAAGCCTGTAAGAATTGTAAAGGTATGTTGTTTCATTATGTTCTTAACCCATTCAACACCGCATGTTATGAGTCCCCAGACACCGGAGGCAGTAGTCACGTCAAAATGAGACATAATTTTAGGAACTTACCTGACTTATGATTCATATATTAAATCCATCACATTTCACAATGTGTGAAAACACTTATTAAATTTCAATTTATCATATATTATCGGCAGAATTAAAATTATAAACTATTTTTCGCAATTTTATTGAAAACAACGATTCTCGGACACATGCTTCGGCAGCGGGTCCACAATAACATTGTCAAAGAGCAAAGTAACGATGTTTCGAGGAAATTATTAAATAAATTGAATAAACTAATGAATAAAATCAACAACAGCATTCATAAAAGTTGTCAAACGTACATATAAAATTACTATTTCCATCTTTTTGTGCGATCAAGTAGGGCAAGTCAAGTCACTGACAAGTGACATCTCGGCTCTCGACGCCTCAATCTTCACGCTCGGACACGATGTTTAATGCGAAAATATATGCATGAAGCATTTTTGTCACAGGTCATAACCTAGCACGATACAGGTCATAACCTAGCACGATACATCCAATAAGTCCCATGATTTACGTATATGTTGTGATTTCTTGCTTAAGATGTTCAGAATAGCATTATCTTACCCAAAACTTTCGTCTAAATCTAAAAGTTTTCGTTTACGAGGGCGGTATCCATTGCCGTAATATGATTGGCTGCCTTAGGTCACGTGTCTGGTTTTGACCAATCACGACCCTTATAGCAGACTGTGGCGAAAAAGCGTCATTAGAAACCAATCTTTATCCAATAAAATCGCTTCTTACAACTGTGAAAATACTCTTGGCATGGGTACAGTGATATAGTTGATGTTCAGAGCTTTCGTACGATACCCGACATCAAACGATTTGCCTCGCATGTTATTCATACGAAGCTTCGAAAACGGAGGTATTTTCCGTTGTTGTGTCCTGTTACCGAGCGGAAAGCCACTGTTATCGGGAAATAAGCGACCATACATATTATTTAAGAAATCTTTTTATAATAATTTTCTGATTACATAAAAATGAAAATATGAAAGAAAAAGGCACGGGCATGTTATGACATGTCACAAATGGAAAAAAATCGCCATAGTTTTTGCTTCTTTCGTGGCTTATCTGGACATTATAAATGTAAACTTGCATTTTCATTAAAAAATAAATTTATTTAAGTTGTAGTTGTATTATTTAAATTATATTATAAAAATAAACTTCATATTTATCAACAGTGGGATTAGATCTTTTTAAATGGTGTATGAGATGTAGTAGTAATAACGTTTTACAAGCTTATAATTTCCTTCACAAACATAGGCTTCATCTGTGACCTTAGAGTCTCTGGGAACTCTACACTTGGTTGGGCTCTACACTTGTTTGAGTGTGGGGTGTTTTGTTTATATGTTTTCCAAATCTTAATTTTTAACCTTTTCTCCGAAAGGTTTTCACAATGTAAACATCTCCCCAGAAAATCCCAAACCAGTTCAGTTTTAAACTTCACAAGCTTGTTCCTACTAGAATAATTTAGTGCTCTTTATTTTGTTGTTTTGGAGATTAATGCTGGAATTTATATCTGAAAAAATCCCTTGTATTTATGTGATCAGGGGAAAATGTTACACTATTTTGTTTAAGTTCTGATAAAAACGAAAAAAAGAGTGGCATAGTGGGGCTCACTGGAATGTTCCTGTTTTTCAGAAATGTAAATTAAATTATCAAAGATGTTTCTTTTGTGTGCAGTTTGTCAAATATTGCCAATGTATTTACAGAAAAGGAGGAAGACTTCTGTCTCAGTTGCAAATGATAATGGTGACCCATGGAACAGTATGTTCAGGTGAGACTAAATATTCACTCTCCATCACCGCTGTCAGAGAACAGGAAGAAGTTGTCTGATAGACACTGCACTGTCTTTGTAGGATAATAAAATGTTGTCAGGGATGTGAGTAAATATTGAACAGTCCTTTGATTAGCCTGTCATGTATGAATACTTTACTCAGCTGAGAGATTTTAGCGTCGATTACCTTGGCCATTACGCCATATAGCTGGAATATTGCTGAGTGAATTTAGTTGGTCACAGAATATTCAGTGCTCTACAATGTGTGGTACTAAAGCTATTTTAAGGGGTTTTTGAAAGATTGTTTTCTGTTCTATTTTTGTGTTGATTGACTGAAAGTCCAGTTTCCATCCTTTATGACCTAGGCTGGAATTAACAAGGTACATTTTTCTGGACATGGAAGTTTATAGTCCAGTCAAATTAAGTAATGAAATTGACATCCTGTTTTTAAAGAACATGGTCACTGCCATCCAGATTTGGGTTGATAGCAGGATGTGAATCAGGAAGTGTGCAATTTTTCTTTGATTAACTTTTTCTCCTTACCTTGACCCCACCGTTTTGGATTGAGTGAGTTTAGTTTTACGCCACACTCAGCAATATTCCAGCTATATGGCGGTGGTCTGTAAATAATAGAGTCTGGACCAGACAATCCAGTGATCAACATCATGAGCATCAATCTGCGCAATTGGGAACCGATGACATGTGTCAACCAAGCCAGCAAGCCTGACCACCCAATCCCATTAGTCACCTTTTACTACACGCATGGGTTACTGAAGATCATTTCTAACCCATATCTTCACAGGTTTTTTGTTTGGAGCACATGCAAGTTATGCAAGAGGTGGAATTCGATTGATCAGTGGGATAGGTGTAACATTTAATAACCACTGCTGGCACTTTGATTGAAAAAGACCTTCCTGAGTTCAGTAAGAGTGGAAACTGGACTTTTTAACCCTATTGACTTGTGTTGATTAAAGATGGGAGACTTCTTTGGTTGTGCCGACAATAATGACATTGACAATAGTGAGAAACCATGTATACATTCACTTCAGACATGTTACGCCTCCTTGTTATACCTCTGATTCTATATTTTTGTATGTTTAGCCCATGGTCGGATTCCTATGAGGTTGCCAAAGAGAATCACTATAGTGCTGGAATGAGGGACCTGCTGTCTTTGACAAAAACCAATGGAGTTTTGGTGAGAGAAAACTTTGACCTTTCTTTTGTGTAAAGGTGGGGATGTATTTTTTTCTTGGCGTGTTATTGATTTTGACAGTGATACAACAAGAAAAGATGTTTCCAGTTTGAATATATTTTATTTGCAAGCATGTAAAAGGCATCTCAAGCAAATGACCAGAATATATTCTTCAGGATGCATATTTGTTCCTGTCACAAAAATCAGCAGATGTTATGTGGCCATTTGGATATATTACACGTGGAGGAGGGTTCCTTTCTATTACACAAAACAGAAACCTCTTTACAGGTAACATTTATGACAGTTGTTTCTTGATACTGTGTAACTGTAACCACATTCTTCTTCATAGTCCGACAGTCCGGTGACAGACAAGCTGCTGGTTCAGCAATGTGTTGTCGCTGAGGTCAAGACAAATAGAAAGGTGAGACTGACAGTTACAGTTGTTCCAAGTGTATTTACCTGTTTACGAAGTGTTGTCCTAAATGATTTTGATGAACCAAGATAGTGAAGCTGTTGTCTGGTCTCTTCACTTGATCAACCGGTGGCCAGATCATTGATAGTCTTGATTTGATTAGTACCTGTGAAACAGCCACCTGCAATAGTCAGCTGGTCTGAAACAAGTTGAACTCAAGAGTGAGTGAGTTTAGTTTTATGCCACACTCAGCAATATTACAGCTATATGGCGGCAGTCTGTAAATAATCAAGTCTGGATCAGACAACCCCAGTGATCAATAGCATGAACATCGATATAAGCAATTTCCATATGATGACATGTGTCAACCAAGTCAGTGAGTTTAACCGCCTGATCCTGTAAGCCTCCTCTTACGATAAGCATGGGTTACTGAAGATCAGTTCTAACCTGGATCTTCACAGGTCTGAACTCAGGACTCAAGAAGGACGAGTAAAGCTTTACACATATTAGTAGATTACATGCATCACATCGTGTTTTGCAGACAAGTAAATGTAAGATAATGTTTACCTGTCTTAAGCTCTTCTCAATGCTTGTGCTCTAGTTTTGTAATATGAAAACATTGTTTTTGTTTTCAAGTTTGCTGATTGTTGTATTTACTGCTCACTGGTGACTTTGCTGCTTTGACAGGGTCTTGTTGCGAAGGAATTAATTCCTCAAGGTCAAGCTGTGATAGAATTCAAGGGAACGGTCATGCTTCGAGAGCATCTGGACACGGAAAGTGTCATGAAGAAGTAAGACCAGCATTCTATTCCACAGTACTATGGTTGTACCATGTTGACAGTGATGGTATCTAGAAATATTGTTAAAGTCAAAATGCTGTATGACAGCTAGATTTTGCAAGTGAATTTCCTCACAGTGAGAATGTTTCTACTGTGTGACCACTTCTGTGGACAGCTTGGTTTCTGGGTCCATTTTTTGTATGTGTTTCATTGATACCGCAAAATCATACTGGCATTTAGACTCAATGAAGATTCACGTAATGACATGCCATAAACCTTTATAAATTCACCATGTTGTATATCAGGCTTTTTTCTAATTTTTATGTGACATATGATGAAGTCATACCACAATGTTTCTTACTGGGAATTTTATTTGTGAATGTTTGTTTTCCAGACTTCATCCGTTTGTGTTGTTTTACTCCAAGTTTGAGGACCTTGACTTATGTGTTGATGCAAGTGCTTACGGTGGTGATGCTCGATTTATTAGGAGGTCATGTACACCAAATGCTGAGGTAGGCACTGTCATATTTGCTCTCGTGTACTGTTCTCTTGTGTAACTGCTCAGTGGCAGTATATTACATTGAGATAAACTGAAGACTATGATTTGTAAAGATCGATCATTTGCCTCATTTTGATGAAGACAAGCAAATGTTATATGGCAGTTTTTTTCACACACACCTCTTGCTGCCATCTTTTTGAGTTGTATGTAATGCCTATTTCTTGTTTCAGGTTCAGCATGTGATCGAAAAAGGTAACATTCAGTTTATTGTCATCTCCAAGAAGGACATCCCGAAAGGAGGAGAAATAACGATTCCGTTTGATTACAACTATAAAGAGTGGTGAGTAGTGTTTACACACAGTACTATTCTTTTGCTGATTCTTGAAAGTGTTAAGTGTTTTTGTGTAATTTCACAACATTCCACCATTCAGCCTATACATGCACATAGTGCATGTATGTGTGTTTTGTAGTGATGATTGATAATTGTACCTCTTATGACTAATGTAATTTCTTATCTCCTTTCAGCTCATTTAGTGTGGAATGTACTTGTCAAAAAGTCACTTGTCCTGTCTCTAAGTTTGGGAAAAAGTTAAGGAATTCTCAAAACAAGTAAGTGGTTTTTTACTTAGTTGAAATGGAAAATAACCTTTTGTAACTCCTGATTAAGCTTCAGGGTTTTTTTATAAATAGATTATGACTAAATTACATTTATAAAGACAGGGACTGGCAGGCAAAATGCACCAGTGCGATTCAGTGGTTTCAGATTGTAGCCATACCACTGTAAGTGTTCATAATCCTAATGTCAGCTAATTTGGCCTGCAATAATCTTGGTGTTAACCACTTTTTCAGGGAATCACAGCCGCGGGCCCCGGCACTGACTCCAACACCCACTCCTGCCCCTGTACCTCCACCACCATCACCGGTGAAGGAGAAGAAGAGAACAAGAAGATTCAGTGCTCCAGAGAGAGAATCTGCTAGAACTAAGGTTAAACAAACCCCCAAGAGTCCTGTAACACCAGTTGCTTCCCCTGTTAAGCCTCAACCTGAAAAGAAGGTGGTCCACCCTATTGAAGTGAGTACCGGTGATGTCATGTTGATGTACTTGATGAAGAATTAGATAAAGCTCAGGTTGTGTAATGAATGTGATATTGTTTATCATTCTGACCATATGGCCTTGACATTACATGTCAGATCCTCTTATGCAAGAGAATATTTGGTGATTTTCTTTTTCCAGACAATGCCATCAGTGTATTCTGGAATTGTTTTATGATATGAACAGTTCCTTTTGTCCAACGTTCTTCTACATATTGTTAACCCATAAATTTAAGCCAAAAAAATAGGTCAGTGTTCTTCAGCATGAATCAGTCAAATGCCCTGAATCACTAGATAATTTAGTTTTTATGATAATGAAATGTACTGAACTTATTGCATTGTAGGAGCCATCACCAGTGAAGAAAGAACCGGTGGAAGTGAAGCCTGCCACTATTGTGGCACCTGCTTCTGAACAGACAATAGATCTCCAGGCTCAGCAACTAGAGACACAGTTGTCTTCTGAGTCAGAGCAGGAGGCAGCAGAAAGGTGTAAAAAGATGGTGAGGGTCAACAGTTACTTAAAAGATGAAACAGGATGTGTCATATTATTATATATCACATTAAGGGAATATGTAACCATGATTGTCCACTCTTTAAAAATTCTTTAAAATGTTACCATGTGTCGTTTTGATTCACCAGTGCAAGTAACTACAAATACTGTACACACGTAACAGTGGTGTCATAACACATCTTTCACTAGTTTATGGTCAGCTTGGTTTTAGCTGTATCACTATGCATTATTATCATGCAGTGTCCTTTGTCTATGATGACCGCCTCCGTGGTGTAGTGGTTAGAGCGTCCTCCCGGAGAGCGGAAGGTCGCGGGTTCGATCCCCAACCGCGTCATATCAAAAGACGTTAAAATATGGTACTTGTTGGTCCCTGCCTGGCACTCGGCATTAATGGGTACAACAAGGACTGGTCGGCTCGGAGTCAGTATAATGTGTCTGAGTGGGGTATTAATGCTTCACTGCGGCATGGTATCTCAGTGGGCTAGCACTATAAAACCAGCTTCAGTCTGGGCTAGTACAAGCAGTCGCACATACACATACACACGCATGCATGCATGTCGTCATATGAGCGAAATATTCTCCAGCATGACGTTAAACCCAATTTCACCTCACCTCACCTTTGTCTATGATATGCAACACCAGTTTTGAAACAGTTTATATATGTCAATCTTTGTTCTCTGTTTTAGACTCGAGAAGAAAGGAAGATGGAGGCTATCATGAAGGCTTTTGAGAAATTGGCAAAGAGGGAGGAAAGACGGAAAGAAGCACTAGCTCGTTTAGAAACTACTAAAAAGCCAGATGTAAGGATTTCCAAATGCTTTCACCATTAATGATAGGAAAGAAATTGATTGTAACTAAAGGCATGCAATAATTTGCATTCAGAAATAAATGTTTCTGAACAAGTCATACTATCCAAAGAATGGGGAAGGAACTTGATATACGTCTGAAAGTGTTTTTATGAGTCTATGGAGAGTGCTTGAATGAGATTATGAGGCAATGTTTGAGAAGGGTGTTTGTTATGTGTGACTCAATAGATTCGTAAAACTGACTGGTCGGAAGCATAAGGGTTTGAAGCTAAATACAATTTAGTATCAACTGAGTGACAAAAACTGTTCCTGACCAGAGAAAAATGGTTCCTGCAGTTCCTTTTTTCCCTCCTTTGTGTCCGAGTTGCATGATGAACTGAATGCAGACCTAGATCAGGAGGAACATTAATTCATTATGTGTTACAGAGAGCTTATGGTGTAGCTGTATGTAGCATATATTATGAAACAAGGCAATGTAATTCATTATGCACGTGAAGTGTTGAAGTGGTTTAGCTGATAGGCTTTAGACACTTGAGTATGTCAGGTTGCAAGCAGAAGACAAGGTAGGGTAAGATGCAGAGGGCACAATGGGGTTGGAAGTAGAAGACGATGTTGGGTTGGAAGCAGAAGACATGGTAGTGTTGGATGTAGAAGACGAAGGGGTTGGATGCAGAAGACATGGTTGGGTTGGAAACAGAAGACATGGTTGTGTTGGATGTAGAAGACAAGAATGGGTTTAAATGCAGAAGATGTGGTTGGGTTGGAAACAGAAGACATGGTAGGGTTGGATGCAGAAGACAAGGTGAGGATGGATCCTCAAGAAGGGGTTGAATTGAGAAGACATGGTTAGGTTAGAAGCAGAATACGAGGTAGGGTTGGTTGTAGAAGACGTGGTGGGGATGGATCCTGAAGAAGGGGTTGCAAGCAGAAGGCATGCTAGGTTTGGATGCAGAAGATATAGTGTCAAGGACTGGCTAGTGTTTGTTGAGTTTCTTATAATGACTTGAACAACAAGCCACGAAATGTCAATAAATGCAGCTTATTTACTCCTCACTCCCACTAAAAGCAGAGTTTGATAACACGAGGTAGCAAAGTCGGCAACTGTCCTTAAGAGAATTATGACATAACCTTCATTCCCTCCTTTGTGTCTGAGTTGCATGATGAACTGAATGCAGACCTAGTCAAGGAGGAACAGTAATTCATTACATGTTTCTAAGGGCAAATGATGAACTGAATGTAGCATATTCTGAAAGTTGGCAATATGTGGTGTAAATAATACATGGGTAATGTGTTCAAGTGGCTTAGGGGAGCACTACCAGGTTGGTTGTCTGAGGTGCAGGGAGAAACTGTTCAACTTATGGGTTAGTGTTGGGGTTTGTATTTACTTCAATTTTTCAGCTTAATATTCAGGCTCGTGAATTTCATCAAAGGCATGAGAGCCCCAGACCTGCATCTCTTCAGGTTCTTTTCTTCATCAAACTGACACTGTAATATGACTGGAATACTGTGCAAAACAGTGTCCACCTGTGAAAATCTGTGCTTGTCGTAAGTGGCGAACAACGGATCAAATGGTCAGTCTGGGTGACGGGGACCTGTATAGTTGTAGATGTTCAGCTGATGAGATACATCTTATCTTTCAGGTGGAGGAAGTACCTCCCCCACTGCCACCACCTCCAGTGAAGGAGGAGCCAGAAGAAAAGCCCAAACCAGAATCTCCAACAAAAGCAACCCCAACAAAAGGGTGAGCATCATTCAAAAATAAATCTGTGTGGACCAATTCAATATTCAGCACCTGGTCTGTAGCAAATATCAAAAAAAAAGTTGTGATCTTTCTGAAAATACAGAAAGAGAACATTAAACTGATACAGCAGTTTGCCTGTCAAAGTGGCTTGGTTTCACATCCCAGATAAGTCTCTGGTTAATCATCTTTTTGTGAAAATTTAGTTTTCAAGTGCTACAAAGGTGAAGGCATCCTTTACTGTGTAGATTGCCTACCAGAAACCACTCTGATATCCTGTATTCCTTCCAAGATTAAAGGGAAAAGGTTTTGCGAATTGTATGTTGTAATAAAGACCAGATAGTCATAAGCAACATTGAGTGGGTAACCTGACACCCCTACTAAAATAATGGTGTGATCCAGTTGTCCAGTATTTTCCCTATGGATAAATAGACTCTCCCATTTGGGACATGTGGTTTGTGTGCTGGCTCATCTCAAACCATTCATTGTGTTACTCAGTGTGCCAAAGACTTTCATCTCATTTGAATTGAGATTGTATTTGTGGGTGCATTTGTCAGATGAAAAGCCGTTTTGCAAGAAATGTTTGACAGAACCTGTGTGGTTGCCTGGTCTCAGGTGCAAGTTGATAGTTCTGAAGGGGAATTTGAGGGCTTCTGTGAAGCTGATATCGTCAAAGCACTGTCAAATCTAGTGCAGAAAAAACGTCAGAGAAGGCACCTCAAACATGTGGCAAATCTCAGAAGGTGACTCAGTTCTGTTTAGATTGTACAAATATTCCTGCTGTCTTTGCTATTGCAATATATGAACAAATTACAAATGTTTTAATGTAAACTTTGATTGTTTCAGGAAGAAGAACAAGAAACATGCGAGGAGGTAGGTTCACCTTGATTTATTCTTTCCTGTTTTTGCTACAATTACAAAATAAAGACCTCAACTACCGGTCCATACTATCACACCAGGAATATGTTTGGAAATATACTAAATATATGTAACTTTTTTGGTTTCATAAGAAGAAGTAGGGTCAACAGTGCTGCGGCCATCATGGAGATTGTGTCGGCTGACGAAAATAGCAACACAGGGTCAACCCCAGGTACCCCTATACAGACTCCTGCTTCAGCAGACATCAGCAGTCCCAATGCAGCAGGCTTCAAGTTCCACAAAACTAAAAAGGTATGGATTATGAAAACCCATTTTCTTTGCATGTTTTTTTTTTTTCACTAAGTTTTTGGAAAATTGTTCCTGCAATACTGTTCCATCTTTCCCTCCTTTGTGTCCGAGTTGCATTATGAAATGAATGCAGACCTAGATCAGGAGGAATAGTAATTCATTATGTGTTACAGAGAGCTGGTAATAAGCTTTATCTGGCACATTATGAAACATGACTTCTTGTTACACATCTATATATGTGTTTAACTGATAGGTACCTGAATGGTGGTAGGTACACTAGGGAGGGTTGGGAGCAGGAGACGGAGCAGGGTTTGAAGACAAAGTAGTTTCAAACAGAAGACTAGGTAGGGTCCGACACCTAAGATAAGGCAAGGTTTTGAAGCCAGGGACTTGGTAGTTTTGGAAGCAGAAGTCTAGGTAGGGTTAGAATCAGAAGCCTAGGTAGGGTAAGTAGCAGAATACAAGGTAGAGCAGGAAGCATCAACTATCTTTGTCAGAAAGTGTTCCTGAAAATTGCATTAGTACCGATTCTTCATTCCCTCCTTTGTGTCCGAGTTGCATGATGAACTGAATGCAGACCTAGATCAGGAGGAACATTAATTCATTATGTGTTACAGAGAGCTCATGATGAGCTGTATGTAGCATATTATGACACAAAGCAATGTTACACGTGATGTGTTGAGGTTTTTGAGCTGATAGGAAGATGATGGGTTTTAGATACACTAGACTGCTAGGTTGGAAGCAGAAGACGAGTTTTGCGGGGGGTATTAAAATGGACTCCGTCCGTCCGTGCGTCTGTGCACATTGTTTTTTTCCCGGAGCATAACTTTTAAACCGTTCAATGTTTCTTCACCAAACTTGGCACATAGATAGATCTGGTGGTGTACTGGTACCTTTTGGTAGTTTTGGATTTCTGAATAAAATATTATTTTGTGTTTCCATGGCAACAAGTTGGACTTAGACTGAAATTGGTGGTAGTACTCTTTTCCGGAGCAGAACTCTAAAACCGTTCAATGTTTCTTCAAAAAACATGGCACATAGATAGATCTGGTGGTGAACTGGTGCCTTTTGGTAGTTTGGGATTTCTGGATAAAAACTTTGTGTGTGTTTCCATGGCAACAATTTTGGCTTCAACTTAATTTTTGGTGGTAATGCTCCTTTCTAGAGCTGAACTTTGAAACCTTTCAGTACTCTCCTTCCACTTTGCTATATACACACCAAAACATTTGACATAATCATAACTCGTAGACATATTCTCTCCTGAGCTGAGAATATTTTGCCATTACACACCAAAACATTTGACATATATTGATGACTGTCTTGTCTATTCAGAAGTCATCATTTTTTATTTTCTAGTTTTGTTTGTTGATATTGCAAATCTATTTTATTTTCTAATCTTGACACTTATTGCCATAGTATATGACTCAACAGTAAATATCTCTCCCAGTGCATTCAGAAGACCAGTAGATCTCTATGAAGATCTTTTTAGTGAAATGTCACCCCTTTTTTTTATTACATGAGAAAAATTCTAAAAAATGTATTTCCAGCACTTATTCAATGAGTGGATGAGCGAGAGGAGTACAGATATCAAGCCACCAGTGCCCGCAGGAGTGGGAAAGACGGAGCCCTTGGAAGTGAGTGTGGACGAGACCATGTTTGTCACTTGCTTACCAAGCCCACGCAATGCCATGGAACACATCCCTCGGCGCAACAGCCAGAGTGCTGGGTCCGCTGCACCACCAGCTGTCATACCTCAGCCCAAGAACAGCAATGAACACAGTATTGGGTCTGCCAAAAAGGTGAGCAAACTTTCTGTATCATTTGAAAATATACATTTTGGTGTGATATGCTCCAGCATCTGAAGAATAGAATTATGTGGACTCCCTCCAGCTACTTTGAATCAGGCTTCAAGTGCTATGTACAAAATATTCAGTTAATTGCAAGCCTTTCTGAATTTCAGATCTTTTTGGAGTGTGAAGTTCTTTCATACATCTATTTCAGTCATACTTGATTTATCCTTCACTCTGTATCAGTGTTGAATCTTAGTTTTACAGTGTTGGCTAAAGTCAATGTTTGCATCACCTGTACATGGAGGGAAGGGTGCCACCCCCAACCCAGTCTAGTATTAATGTTGAATGTTTGTTTCCAGCGTTGGCTACGACAGGCAATGTTTGAAACTGGTCCCCCCTCTAGTGACAGTGGCAGTGCGTCACCTGTCCACGGGAGTGCTAGCCCCAACCCAACGGTTTGTCTGCCAAGTCCTGGTGGATCTCCACCTGCAGGTTAGTTCTTGTTGCTTTCATAGTGGACAATTCTACTGTTCAGACTAAACATGTTCTTTTGTCAATATCCTAATCCTGTCGAAATTTAATTGCTGGTATCAGGTTTTTACATGACTAATAAATGTACGTCCATTATGCACAAATGTATAAGATGGATGCAGAAATGTATATATTTATATTAAGGGACACGCAAGTACTTGAGGGTCTCTGTACCCATAGTTTTATAGGTCAAGGTTAAACCCTAAATACCAGTAAGTGTATTTTTCTGTCTTGCGTTCATGTTCCTGGATGCTGCCTTTCTGAAGGAAGGAGAAGCCGACCTTGTAATTTGGCGTAAAATTAACTTGTTAAACTATAAAAACAGGTTTGTGGAATTGACGGTGGCGTATATTTTGTAGATTTCGTGACTCCATTGAAGAAGCGTCGTCTAGCACGGGAGTCCATGTCACAGGAGCAACCTCTGACTCCCACTCCGTCCACTCCCTCTCCATCAGTCCTGCAGCAAGGCTCTGGTGCGGAACTGGGACTGACCACAGTACCAGGCTCCCCCCCCAGGCTGAGCTGGAGGAACTGCAGAACAAGAATGGCATCAAGCCTCTGCTGCCACACACACCTGTCACTCCTGATGACAAGAATGATCAGGTAACTAGATTCAAATTCAGAATTAACTAGCTACAGTGTACTCTGTAAATACCGGCATCAGTCGGGACCAAATAAAAATGCCGGTTTTGACAGAGTGCCGGTTTAGCTAGGTTCGCTTATGACGCCTGCGCACACGGAAGTTCGCTGTCGTACTGTCACTTTAGCATTAACAAGATGTTTGAATAAGAAACAAGGCAGTGTCTGAATGCACATTCATGTTGTTTAAATCAAATAAAAATGTCTGAAATCTCTTATTAAATTTCAACTGATCATATATTATCGGCAGAATTAAAATTATAAACTATTTTTCGCAATGTTATTGAAAACAACGATTCTTGTTTATGCTTCGGCAGCGGGTCTACAATAGCATTGTCAAAGAGCAAAGTAACGATGTTTCAAACATCGAGGAAATCATTAAATAAATTGAAATCAACAATAACATTCATAAAAGTTGTCAAACGTACATATAAAATTACTATTTCCATACTTTTGTGCGATCATGCAATGTAAGTCAAGTCACTGACAAGTTACATCTCGGCTTTCACCGCCTCCGTCTTGATGCCCGGACACGATGCTTAATGTGAAAATATATGTATTTTTGTCATAGGCCCTAACCTAGCACGATATGTCCAATACGTTCCATAATTCACGTACACGTAGCGATGTTCTTCTTAATATGTTCAGAATAGCATTATTTTACCCAAAACCTTTCGTCTTAATCTAAACGTTTTCGTTTACGAGGACGGTATCCATTTCATTAATATGATTGGCTGCTTAGGTCACGTGTCTGATTTTGACCAATCACGACCCTTATAAGCAGAGTGTAGTGAAAAAGCGTCGTTAGAAACCAATCTTTATCCAATAAAATCGCTTCTTACAAATGTGAAAATACTCTCGGCAAGAGTACAGTGATATTGTTGATGTTCAGAGCTTTTCGAGCGATACCCCATCAAGCGATTAAGCCTCTATGTAAGTGACACGTGCCACTCACTAATTAACAAGAAACTGATTGACACTTCCGTTTCTGAATAATCTCGAGTCAATACCCGCGAATCAACAAAATGTAAACCCTTGCTTGTTTATACAGTCAAACTGCCCACTACATGTATTAATTACTCAGGGTAAGTGTTACGTACCACTCACTGATTAACAAGATACTGATTAACACTTCACGTTTCTGAATAATCTCGGGAGTCACAGCCAATTGTGTTGTTACATCATTTGGACCTAATTGCATCAAAGGGTTACGCCGTCTTTCATGTGCCGGTTTTTACAGATTCGTTTTCATAACAACTTGTTCGTTGGGACTGAAAAACAATGCCGATATCCTGAATAGACAGATGCCGATGTTTACAGAAGTTTCTAAATGATAATAACGTGCATTTCTGCCGGGACTGAAACTTTGTGCCGATGTAGACAGAATGCCGGTGTTTACAGAGGCCGGTATTGACAGAGTCCACTGTATACAAAAAGTATGTTTAAAAATTGGTTCCTCTCAGGAATGTACAGTTGTTAAAGCAGCTGATGGATATGATTGGTGAACCTTTTTGCAGATACATAAACTCAGATGTCTTATCCCTGTATGTGCATGCCCTTACATTTCAATAGTTTTGCATAGTTCAGCTACCCTCTTTGAGACAAATGGCTTCTGATTTGGGGGCATGGGATGGTGGCATAGTTTGTATACTTTGGATTGGCCTCTCCAGTGTGTCTCTCACAAAGAAATTTGAAAGACATTGGGGCAGTGCTTCAGCCAGGCAAGCGCCACTGCGCCATTGACACTACAATTAATATAATCCACAGGTCTTCTATACCATGATTACCATGAATGGCAAAAGTCTCAACTGCATTGGCACACATTTTAGTAGTTACGGTGCCACTGGCAACACTCAAACAAATCCTGGCTGAAACACTGTTGGGTTTTTTAATATGAACCCCAGCACATGAAGGTTGAAGATTTCAGTTTGGTATATTTAAATGAATGAGATAAAAATAATTCTTTCCCTTCAGATGTGTGGACCTCCATCAAAGCGTCAAAGGAGAGAAAGTAGCCAAAGAGATTCTACAGACATTGACAGTGATGCTTCTGAGTCTTTACTGCCGCCCCAGTCAGCATGTCAAGGATCTGAAGGAAGAAACAGTACAGAAGAAATGGCTGAAAGTAGCATTTTGTGTTCAGAGAAAGACACGTCCTGGTCAGAAGTTGCAGACAGTAGTATGGATGTAGAGGAACGACAGACTCGGACTGATGAGGTCGTGGACTTGGTCAAAAAGAGTGATCTTCCTACAGGAGAGGCAGATGCTCGGGAAGTGAGAGAAATGTGTGCAGAAGACCAGTCAGAGAAACAAGAACAGCAGATGGAAATAGATTCGGGGAGTGGCCTGTTATCACATGAAACCCTTAGTGATGAGAATTTAAAAGAGCAGCAGACATGTGATTCTCAGCAAAGTGAATGTTTAAGCCAGAGCAAGTTGGACACTGAAGCTGGGAAGGTTTCTTCCAATGTAGAACATGGCGTGTGCTCTAAGGATGTTACAACAGAGCCTTCAGAGGAGGTTTCCGGAAGCTTAGGTTTCCGAGGTATCGGAAACTGACTCGAAGTCTGTAGGGTCACCAGAAAATTTGGAAGGGGAAGTTGATTCTCCAGCTAAAGCTGAGGCTAGGACTAGTGAAAGTGTTGAGAAAGCCTCATCGTCTGCAGAAAAAGACTGCTTAGTATCAGATTCTCATGAAATCGTCTGTGATTCAGCATCAAGAATAGATGCAGGTGCTGCTGTGAGTGAAAGTGACACAAATGAGCCTCGGTTGCCCCTTTCCTTGGAGGAAGGAACATGCTGTGTGTCCAGCACTGAGGAAAACAAGAGTGAGATTGTTCTGCTGACACCAGCTTCTCCACAAGAGGGAGAGCAGATTGCTGTGGCAGCTCCAGACTCTCAATCGGGGCCTAGTGAAGCATCTGTAGGGTACACCAATCATGTAACTGATAAAGACAATGCCATGTGTTACGATGACATGGCGACTGTTTCATCAACAAGTGTAGTAGATCCACATTGTTCACCTGCCCCATTCATGTCACAAGGTGTGTGTAATGACTCGCATTATGTCGGAGAAGTGGAAGCAGGGTGTGTGAACCCTCCCCTTCCACCAGGCCCCCCTCCACCGCCTCCTGACTGTATGGAGGTTCAGCCACCACTGCCACCTTCACCCCCTCCACCACCACCAGAGCCGCCAACAAAGAAAAAGGTAGGGACTGCTTAATATGGCCATTATATAGTCCTGGGATTCATGTGTAGGAAAATGTAATTGTTAAAAAATAACCTCATGAACGAGTAAGTATATGCTCTGAAAAGTTGTGGTCCTCATAATATAGAAGTTGAGATCCATATAGTTATCTTCCTTATGTGTATGTCTTCTAACCCATTCAAAGACGTCATTGGACATGTTTGGTTTTCAACCAGGGAGGAGTTCATGTTTTTCAGTCATAATAGATACATCGATTCATCAGGTTTCACAAGAGACTCAGCTTGGATATGAAGTTATCTGTTGTTTATTGGTTTATTTTGAATGTAACATAAATGATAATCATAACATGCCACCTTACTTTTAAGAGCTCAAGTAGTGAAAGAGAATGTTTTTATTTCTAGGTTAGTCTTCTAGAATATCGTAAGAGATTGAAAGAGAAGGTGAAAGAACCCTCATGTGGCAGTTCAACGCCCCCTCCCCCGCCTCCACCCCCACGTTCTCATCATCATGGAGCAAGAAGAAAATCATCACGGTCGTCATCCACACCTCATGTTCCCACACTTGCTCCACTTCCATTGTTTGAATCAACTAGCCCAACTGGCAAGAAAGGTAGGAATGGGACAAATTCTATTTCATATAGGCCTCCTTGGGGTAGATATAAGCATTTTAATGTCCATTTAAAAATCCCTACGACAATTGTAACAATATTTGAATAAAAATATTTACAAAACAAAAACTACGTTTTTGTCTTGAGACCACCCCTACAGCCAAGAGCAGGTAACTCATAGCCTATAACCTCGTACCTCACTTTCCATGCTGTCGTTTGACTGACTAGACGTAGTGTCCAGATCGACAAGAGAGTTGATTTTTGAAAATTCCCTGCTAAAGATGAGTGGGTCCGAAACAGCTACTGTATGTATGGTTCTCTTTTTCCCCTGCATGGGTGATTTAGAGATTGTTTCTGAAATTTGTTCATTCATCTTTTGTTGTAACATTGTACCCATCCCTGTCGGCTCACCATGTGCTTGTCAAGATGGCGGATGGGTACCTTCGCTATGCTCACCTTTTCATTGTATGTTCTTAGGGTTATTCAATGTTTAGTGTAGTTACAGTGTCTCAATTATGTTTTAAAGTTAGCACGTTAGGGCGTGTTTTCCACAGCTTTTTTCCTATATACGATTTGTTGTATTATGGTGGTATAACGCTACCGGTGACGACTTGTCGGCACCTGTGCTCGCACGCCAGCTTACTGACGTTCACTCTCATCTGGCTAGGGACAGCATTAGGTGCTGTGCTAGCCAGATGATGGGTGCTGTCATGGGCATGCGTAGGCTTTGGCTTTCAGTGGCAGGTTATTCTCCAGCCACGCAACAGGCGCTACTTTCCTTGCCTTTCACAATGGTTTCTTCCCTATTTCCTGGGGGCATTACAAATAGTGTGGGAGGCCGCTGATGCGGTGTCAACTTTCAAGGATTCTAAACCCTTGTTAGAACACCCATCCACTTCTCGGCAACGGCTCTTTCCCTCCAGCTGTTAACGTGGAAGGCTGCTTTTCTTGTGGCTGTAACCTCGGGCAGGAGGGTAGGCGATATTCATGCAATGTCAGCCGACCCCGCGCTAACTGTTTTTCATAAAGACAGAGTTAGCATTCGGTTGCCTGATACTTGCCGTCCTAAGAGAGATAGTGCCTTTCATGTAACGGCGCCTATTGAGCTCCCGGCTTTCACACAGCCTTCCCTGCCCGGTACCTCTCTACGACGTGCTCACGTCTTAGATGTCCGTAAGACCCTTAAGGCTTATATCAAACGAACAAGGGGTATCCATAAGCATAACCAATTGTTTTGCTGTTATGGCGGGGGCAAGGCTGGTCTTCCGGCGAACAAGCAAACCATTTCTAGGTGGCTTGTCTCTGCCATTTGTATGGGATATACGCACAAAGGTCGTATGCCACCTAAAGGGTTGAAGGCTCATTCGGTTAGGGCAGTGGTTACGTCGAAGGCATATGCTGCAGCCCTGCCCATTGAGGAGATCTGCTCAGCGGCTATATGGAGCCGACCGAGTACGTTTATCCGTCACTATCAACTTGACAGACACTTAAGCGAGTGTGCTCGGTTCGGTCAGTCTCCAGTGGGCAAGGTTCCACCTCTCTGGCCGATTGAGCTTTGGAGGTTTTAAGACATGAACCATTTATCTGCCGATTTTTCCTAGTGTTGGGTTTTATGGTGGTGGTTTTATCCCATGTACTGTGCATTCCTCAGTACTGCTCTAGTTCTATTGCCTTGGAAACCTTTGCTTGTATTGTACGGCAAAATACTTCTCGGGTTTATTGATAAATTCCCTTATCTTCTCTTCCGACTACTTACGGGAGGGAGGGGGGGATTATTTGAGCAGTTTACATTAGCGAGGTTTCGCATTATGAACATAATGTTTGACCCCTGACCCTGGCTCATGCCCACGCCCAATTGGCTGTGGTGGACACGTGACCAGGTAAGTGAGCTTTTCAGCTATTTTTAGCTTGGGAATTACTCTCATTGTCGGGGTTGTGTTTATACAGACAGAATACCGCTCCCTAGCTCAGTCTTTAGGAGTCTGTCTTATGCTTATATGTACCCCAAGGAGGACTATATGAAAAAGAATCGAACTAACATGTAGAGGTTTCAGATTCTTTGAATATAGTCCTCCTTGGGGTACGGCCACCCACATCCCCCACATTCTGTCTGATTAGTTCAGCATGGAAAGTGAGGTACGAGGTTATAGGCTAGAGTTACCTGCTCTTGGCTGTAGGGGTCCGTGGGGCCCTGTAGGGGTGGTCTCACAAGACAAAAACGTAGTTTTTTGTTTTGTAAATATTTTTATTCAAATATTGTTACAATTGTCGTAGGGATTTTTAAATGGACATTTAAATGCTTATATCTACCCCAAGGAGGACTATATTCAAAGAATCTGAAACCTCTACAGGTTAGTTCGATTTTTTTGTGAATATTTTTCTTGTAACAAGAATAAATGTTCCTTCTTTTTGGGGATTGGAAAGTTCATGGGGGTTTTTTTTGACAATTTTTTTGTAGTGATACACCATGTATTAATATTTCTCCCTAGATAAAAAAAAAAGAAAGAACGAGAAGTGCGGAAGCCAATGAGTCTGACAGAACGACTTCGTCAGGAGTTTGGCCTGGATGACACAGAAGAGGAGCAGCCACCCAATAAGCCAAGTAGGTTTTCATCTGGTCCCTCAACTTCTCTTTTGCTGCTTGATTGATGTGGGGACATGTGACAGTTGCTGTGTTTTTGTCTTGCATAAAGACATAATTTTTCATTTGTTGGCTAATATGGACCATTTTTCATACTACTATTTGCAGTAGTGTCATGTTTCATATGTAACTGTTCTGGCATAGATAGATAAGCTTAACTTCATTTCATCATTCAAGCGTGCATTGCATCACAAATGTTTTTATTGTAGTTACTCAGGAAATAGGCATGTGAGATTGTTGCTTTTCATGTTTCAAGGTCATCTTTCATTTCACATAATCACACAATACCCTGTTGTAGATACTGAGAGGGAGTCCTCAGATACCCCTCCTCCACCACCACCACCTCCCCCACGAGTGGGAGTAGTGCACCCCTCAACTCAAAGGGGGTCAGTTGAGGGTGAGTGTCAAAGCAGATCGGCTAAGTTGTGCCGCTCTCTGCTTTGCATGCTACAACCTCTCTAGCTAGATCTTTAATCTTTCCCTTGTGAAGACTCCACATCTGATCAGTTGCAGACGTGGCAGCTGACAATATTGTTTCAGTATGATGTAATCCAACTTTCTGTAGTAATTTGGAAAGTTTTTCTCACTTTCAGCACCCTATAGTTTTGATAGCATAAAACATTTTTTGCTTTTTCTATCAAATTTCTGCTTTTTTTGTTTCTGATTCATCAGTATATTGGGTACAAAATTGTCAATTGAGGAAATTTTAATAGCACTCATACCACTTAACATCTTAGTCTGTGTCATAAACAGTGCACTTATCTAAAAACTTGTTCCTTTTTGTAGTTTTTCATGGGGTTAATCTGTTTAATTGTAAGTTAAGTGTTCCAAAAGCATTACAAATGGCGTAACATCAGCACTTTTCCTCAAACTGGCTTGAATGTTCGGACATGTATTAAATTTTAGATGAAGATGGTCAGCACAGTCCTGATGTTCCACCCCCTCCTTCTGAACCCCATCCAAGTCAACTGAAGTCCCGCCCAGTGCTTCTGCCTCACCCTACAGGCCCGAATGGTGGACACATCCCCTCTCTCATGTCACTGTCGACCTTCCCTGCCAGGCCTGCGCAGACTGGACCATCAGCAAGGGTTGTCTCCCCTGTTCCAGGGACCAGTGGGCCAGCCCATCCAGCTCATAGGAACTATCAAAGTAAGTCGTTACATATCTGAAGTTTTAGTACTTTTGCATCAGAATATTGGCTGAATCCACGATGTCTTGTTAAAGTGCATGAAAAGTATAATCGGATAAGAATGATGATTATTTTCCTGAAGGCAATAACTTGCATTGTGTTTTAGCTTTGAAGAAAGTGGTAATAAATGTTCACCATTTTGTAAATTGTTTTTCAGTGTTAAATGGTACTCCACCCTTGGGTCAGCCTGCACCAGTTCCAACTCCTGTGCTGCCAACAGTGACTCAGCAGGTCCCTACCCCTGTTCCACCACCTCCAGCTGGCTACCACCAACCAATCTCATCTGCCAGTAAACCTTACCTTGCACCTGGCACCAACCTCGGAGGGTCGCCAGCTGCCTTTTCGGGCACATCTAAGAGTTCAGGGTATACTGCTGCACCCCAGACCCAGCCTCCACCAACTCCCCCCTGGCCAGCAACAATCAGTGCAATATGTTGCTCAAGTTCAGGCCAAGCCACAAAATCCCATAGGACAGAAATTTGAGTACAATCATGGCCTGCATGTCAAGCCTGTGCACTCGCCTCCACCATCATGGAACAAGGCATCAAGTTCACATCCTAAGCCACCTCCTTTCCCTGCACACATTCAGCAGACAACTAACAACAAAGACAAAGGCTACCGTAGCCCTGTATCCAGCTACCCCAGCTCCTCAAACCACTACTGATGCTACTGACAGTGATCTGTTCTACAGACCAATGTGATGTGATCTTGATATAGGGCAATGTGCTTGTGAGCGTATTTTGTGGTGGTTCTGTGTTCGCTGGTGCTACTAGAACTGTCAGGACTGAAGCAGGGGTTGAGGACAACAAGCTGTGTAAATCGGTGTACATAACTCATTGCTACATGCACAACATACATGTACATACATACATCTGTCATACACACATTTACCCACACAGCCATCTCTAGCAAACATGCATACTGTATATATGTTCATGTCATGCATTTCATCTAGTGTTGTACATTTTGGCTTCATTTGTCAGTTGGCTCACTTGTGTAGTTCAGTATATTTTGTGTAAAGACTTTTTATATTGTGAAAGGATCACTAGGTGAAATTAGATTTCTGTACAGAGTATATTTTCTGCTGTTTGGCAGTTCCTGCCACCACAGTTGTGCCATGCTTCCCCGGCCGACCGACTCGGACTCCTGGCGTTCTTGTGCTGCTGCTTTTGTCTGTCTTTACCACTTGGTGGTAGCAGGACCAATTTGTTAAGTTTGGTGTTACATCCTTTTGAATACTGCCACCATGTTACATGTTTAATTGTTTTTCCACAGACGCATTTATGATCAGAAATGTTTGAGAAATCATGCCACTTCTTCCAAGAAGATTTTGTTGGTCTGATGTTGAAATGTTGCATTTTGTGAGCATTGGAATCATGAAATGATAATCCTCATATCACAAGGGAAAAATCTCAATGCTACCATGTTTGTGTTGATACAGATAACAGCAAGCATTTTCACAATTTCGTTATTGCTGAGCCACACATTTCATGTTTAATGTTATACCAAACCTAAGAAGTGTTTTGTATTGAAAATTGTTGGATAATCTTTTGTGATTATGATCTGAATAATGATTGTTCTTTGAGGTGAATGTAATATATGTTGAAATGTGTTCTCATGCTCTGCAATATTGAGATCGATTGCTCTGTCTTGTCAACATACACAAGAATGACGATGTCTAAAATTGGGGTCGAAAACTCTTTGCTTGTCATGTGTGCCATCTTGAAACAAATTTCTAGGAATCAAGGTATCTTAATACTTAATTTTGCAGTTTCAAAGCCAGTATAACATCATGGGTAAATACAAATGCTTGATTAAATGTGGCACTAATAAATCTTTCATGATTGTGAAGCTTTCATCTCAAACTATTCGGAATTATTCATGAAATGTTCAAGAATTTCATTTGCATATATCCTTATGCAGGCAATTTGAATCTGACACATGTATGCGAGGGAAAACCTGAAATTAAGATTGACTTAGAGCTGTGGCAAATCTCTCCTTTGTTGTTGAAGCGATGCTGCCAGTGTTAGTGCTGCTATAAATGTTGCATGTCGCCAGTAGGCACCGCCACGATGTAGTGTATGTGCCGGAGTCCAGTCATGGCCACAGTGGGTCGAAGCAGAGGTCACAGATCGTGGTTGCTGCTAACATGTCTAGTGCTGTCATATTTAAGAATTCCTCGGGCTGCTCTACTTATTTCTGGTTTTTGTAACCAGATTTCAATGTTAAGTTTAGTACCGATTGAAGTGTATAGCATGTACAAGTATTACTTGTGCAGTTTCCTGCAGATGTAAACAAAATAAAATTAAAAGAATGCCAACAAGTTAATGAGACTCCTCTTTTTTGTTAGTTCACCTGTGTCAATTGATAAGGTGTGATGGCCTCTTTGTCCAGTGTCGATGTGTGATTGTCATCTTCACAGAAACCACTTGACTAATAAAGCTGAAAGTTCTTCAGCAGCTGTATACTGTAACAGCTGTTTGAGGTCATAACGGTATTAATAAAATTGGAGTGTATTCTTTGCCACGATGACCACCATTCATCATTAAGACAAGAGGAGGCCCAAGATCAGTTGTGAGGAAAAGAAAGATTGCTTCTGTAGGCTATTTGTAGTGTATGAGGCAAATGAACATGGAAATATTGCAGTGCTGATTAATGTATATTTCTTTCTCACTCGCTCTAAATATAATTTCCATGAGTCTAGTCATTAACAGGAATGTGTTTCACAGTGCTCTGATGCAGGTGTGGTTTAACATTTATCTTTTTTGTGTGTAATTTTGGGTTAATTTCTCAACTTGGTTATAGTTACCTTTGACTTCTTCCAAATACAATATTCTCTAAAAGACTGTCATCATGATCATATTCCAGTATCATTGAAACAATTGAACGTGTACTTATCAGTGCAAACATTGGACAGAATTCCTGGGCCTAGATTTTCGAAGCTCTCTTAGCGCTAAGATAGTCGTAAGTTAATGTTATTGTATGGCACTTACGACTATCTTAGCGCTAAGAGAGCTTCGAAAATCTAGGCCCTGCAGTTTACCGGGGAAATCAGATTCGCATTGAAATAAATACGTTGTCATTAGTTGAAGGTGGATGACCTGCAGTATGTGATGACTGCTTGTTATCAGGTTATGACATACAGGCCGTTATATAGTTTCATCAATTCAAGGTCATGGTTTATGTTCATGCTGCAGTGAACCAATGCAGTAAATAATCTTAATACACAAAATCTTATGTTACCACACACAAAAATAGTTTTACAGAAACACGGGGGCCGAAACCGGTCATCGTAGACCGATGCTAACAATAACAAATTACTGGATGTCAGGCCCAGACTTGAATATTTACAGGCAAAATCAAACCTTTCAATATTCCTTAATGTGCTGTCTGTCAATATAGTTTTTATGTAAAAATCCTCAGCGAAACCAATGGTGATTGTTACTGTGGTCCAAAAAACGTTCTGTTGAAGTTTTGTTATGAGCTGCAATAGTGCTGATTATCAGTATACTGAGCTTTGAAACCATTTATCATTCTTCAAATTAACAGTTTGGTGTTTGTATGTCACAGACTGAATGAAGAATGGAGAGACGGCGGTCTATAAATAATCGAGTCTGGACCAGACGATCCAGTGATTGACATCACGAGCATAGATCCAAAGATTAGGTTAAGATGACGTGTCAACCAAGTCAACCAGCTGATTGTACTTGTGGATATGAATGGCAATGTATACATGGTCGACCGAAAGAAGCACGCAACATCCATCTTTTATTACGACTTTCAAAATATATTTTTGTCACATGTCGGCTAATGGGCAAAGCCTGAAGTGATGCAGATGAAACTTACAGTAGGATAAAACCAATTTACGTGCATGTGTATGACGCTACAGTCCTTGAAACAACGAGGCCGAGCAGACAACATGGATCTGACACCCCCACATGACATCTCTTGACTTGAATGACAGTTCCCAGGACGTCTTGGCCACCTGTTATAGAAAGGTTTCAGTAGCAGAACAAAATAATTTTGCTCCACCCTGGAATGTTTTTGCTTTTTGCTGAACGCCGCAATATTTCAGCTGCATGACGGTGTTCTTCAAATAATCGAGTCTGGACCAGACAATCAGGTGACTGACATCATGAAACGTATGCTTGATAAATAGCAGTTCCCCAATTGAACATTGGGCCTGCAAATATCATGTGCACGGGGCAGTTCCGATTATTATAACTGCGGTTCAACGTTTAGGTCGTTTAAAGGAGGTATGTTTCAGTATGTGCGAGATGGTAAGATTATATCCGACAACATTTCTAAACGTAACACAAAGCTTATGAAGCTGCCTTAAACTGTCTGTTCCCACAAATTCATATACATTTAGCTTTGTGCAACAGATTAAACCTGATTTTACATCAACATCAAATCAGGTTTCAGACCTTGTCTATTTCACGCAGGTGCTTACCAACATTGTCACGTGGTCCAAAGACGACGCGTTTAACCAATCAGAGCTCACTTCCGTTGCACGAGTTTTCCGTGCGCGTTTGGACAACAGGAATGGAAGCAGACGTAGCGGAAAGTCAAATGCACCGGTACATGGTCATTTAATTCAAACAAGGTGGTGAGAATTTTCTAACACCGTAAACAACTATAGACTGTGGACGTTTTTGATATATACGCGCTGAAAATAACCTTGAGGACGAGTCAGGTTGTCAGTGTTGAACATCAAAGCTTTTCACCAAGGTAAGATTTCATTGTCATATCTTGCCTTGCTGTGCATCTTATAGGAAATACTAAATACGGCCACAAGGTAAGTGCAGACGTATAAATAAAATAACCTTTTTGGGAACATATTATTGTACGCTATTTAAGGTTCCCCATTTGTAATATACTAGTACTGCTGAAACTGAATTCAAGAACATCCGAACCTGGAGACTGGAGATAACCTGTCATGGCATGGTCGATTGCCAATATTCATATGACCAATTTGTGTGTTCTTTAACTTTGTTTGAGAAGTATATCGTAACTGTATATAGTGTTAGAGGGAGAAACGTAAGGGATATACCAAGTGTTTTCAGTTTAAAAGGTTCGAACCCCTATTCCATACTTTCACTAGTATGTTTAGAAATCTACTTATATGGACTGTAACGACCCATGGAAGTATCGGTGTATCGATTCACTTCAGTTTTGTGTTATTAATGACTCAAAATACAAGTGTGTTCAAGAATTTCTGCAGCCAGTAGAAGTACGTATGACTCTAGAATACGGGAACCAAACATGGCTTTCCAAATGTAGTGCTACTGAGTGAGTATGGAACCTTATACGCCGCATCTATGAATACTCCAGCAATATCGATATAAGCGAGCACTCCGTCCTTGTGCATCTAATACCGAAAATATGAGGAAATGTAAAATCACATCATTTGATGGACCACGTTCTCAGTAATCACTGACCACCTGGAACAGCTACTTCCTCCCAAAGCATGGGTCAGTGGC